GGGACATGGGCAACTGCCAGGAAGGTAGCCGTGGGTCTCACAGAAATCCCTGGGCCCAAGTTTGGAGACAGAAGTTTCAGTCCTGGAACCACTGATGAGCCCTAAGACACAGGCAGACCCTAAGCGTCTTACCTTCTTCACACACTCTGGGGACACTGGGATGGGGAAGGGCCCAAGGCTGCCAAAAGTGTGGTGGGGGCCCTGGACAGTGGGTTTCAGGTACACACAGAGGATCTGGAGATCAGGGCAAAGCCAGTATGGCTGTACATTTATTCATTCACTCATTCATTCATTCAAACAGACTCTGTTGTCCAGGCACTGCTCTATCCACTAGGCACTGCTCTACTGCAGTGGTTCTCAGTCTGCTCTCCACCGCCAGCAGCAGCATCACCTGGGAACTGTAGAAATGTAGATTCTCACATCAGAAACTCTGGGCATGGGGCCCTGCAATCTATGTTTTAACAGGTCCCATGCATGCTAAAGTTTGAGAACCACTGTTATTGGTCAATTTGCCAACAGATAAGTTCATCAAATTGTCTAAGTTTATTTGTTCACCAAAAACTTGTCTTAAGGAAAACCCTTGAATCTTTTCAATGAATGTATTCTTAGAAGCATTTTAACCACTTCATTTTGTTGAAACCAAGGGTCTTGGAAACATTCTTCTTATGAATATATTTTTTTCTCATATGCTCCCAAATTCTTAAAGATAGTCTTCTTATGAATGTCCAATATTCTTATGAATTCAGTAAGATATTAAGATAGCCATTAAATAAATTTGTAAACTAGATTCACATAAGATGTTTTTGGATATATTCTTTTTATGATCAATATTTTTATTTATTTATTTTCACTGAGATATAATTCTCATTCCATAAAATTCACTATTATAAAGTATACAACTCAGTGATTTTTAGCATATTCAAAAGTGGTGTGAGATCACCATTGAATAATTCCAGAACGTTAGCCATTATTAGTCTCTCCTCATTTTCCCAGTGCCCACCCACCCCAAAATTCCTGGCAACCACTAATCTACTTTGTGTCTCTAGGAATTTGACTACTCTAGTACTCGCATAAGTGGAATCATACAATGATTTTCTTTTTCTGACTAGTTTATTTCATCCAGGTTCATCCATGTGTAGCATGTGTCAGAATTTCCTTCCTTTTCAGGGCCAAATAATATTCCATTGTATGTATAGACCATATTTGGTTTATTATTCATCTTTTGATGGACACTTGGGTCACTTCCCCATTTTAGCTACTGTGAATAATGCTGCTATGGAACATTGGTGTACAAATATCTCTCTGAGATCTGCTTTCAATCCTTTGGGGTAGATACCCAGAAGTGGAATTGCTAGGCTATACGGTAATTCTATTCATAATTTTTTGAGGAAGCTCTATACTGTTTTCCACAGTGGCTGTATCATTTTACATTCCCACCAACAGTGCACAAGAGCTCCAATTTTTCCACATCCTTGCCAATACATGTTGTTTTCTGTTATTTTGATAGAAGCCATAATAATTGGTATGAGATGGTATTTCATTGTAGTTTTGACTTGTATTTCCATAGTTATTGATGTTGAGCATCTTTTCACATGCTTATTGGCCATTTGTATATATTCTTTGGAAAAATATCTATTTGAGTCTTTTGCACATTTTTGAATCAGTTTGTTTGTTTTTAAATTGATAATTTTTAAGTGTTCTCTATATATTCCTGATCAGATACATGATTTGCAAATATTTTCTCTCATTCTGTGGGCTATCTTTTTACTATGTGGATAATGTCTTCTGATGCACAAAATGTTTTAATTTTCATGAAGCCCAACTTATCTATTTTTTCTTTTATTACCTGTGCCTTTGATGTCATAGCCAAGAAATCATTTCCATATCCAATGTCATGAAGGACAACTATGTTTTCTTCTAAGAGAACTATCGTTTTATGTCTTATATTTAGGTCTTTGATCCATTTTGAGTTATTTTTTGTGTATGGTGTTAGGTAAGAGTCCAACTTTATTCTTTTGCATTTGGATATCCAGTTTTCTCAGCACCATTTGTTAAAAAGAATTGTCCTTACTCCATGGTATGGTCTTGGCACACTTGTTGAAAATCATATATATGTGAGGCTTTACTTCTA